ATATTCATTGTTGATTTGTTGATTGGAAATACCGGGCTTGGAATTTTGTTGATTTGGAAGCCCTAATTAAGGCTCAAAATACCTGTCCAGGTTGTAGGACTAACGACTTATTGAAGCGTCAATGTCAGTATTTTTTACTGTGAGACAAGCTCATGGTGATTTAGTGACGGAAATGAAGTTTGCAGAAGCTACGATTCATTTTCTGACATCTTATGAATTTTTTGTCAGGAGAGGAAGCACATAATTTCCAAGGCTCGGGCCAGACACGAAGTTTATGCCGCGTTGTGCCGGTGCAATTAAGGGCTATGAATATGCTCGAAAATATGCGAGGCCTCTTAAAATTGCATTTTTTTAATTGCTATAGAGTCATAAAGTGTTGTGGGAATTCAGATCAAGTCGACAATATTGAACCAGTGCTTAAAACAGGCTGAAGATGAAAGTCTTCTTGTAATTAAAAAGCAACCGTTAGTCTCTAAGTGAACACTTATGAAAGCAAGGAAAAGCTGATTTAAATTTGAATGTGTTCAGTTGGTTTCTCTGGTTTTGTTATTTTGTCATTTTACTTTACCACAATTTTTAATTGTACTCGTGGCACGATAACCCGGGAGGCGAGTTTAAACAAAGACTTTAAAGGAATTTAACCTAGCCTTTAGAGCACATGAGAGTGAAATGAAGTTCTTGATTCTAAACTAATGAGGGGATTCTATATTTTTACAATTAAATGTTTTAGGACCCGCTAATAAATTTTCAAAAATTACAGAACAAATAGATATTGTAGAGAGGCAAGGTTGCCCCGCTGTGATCTAATCGATCACGAACGCTCTCGGCCATATTGCTGGCTGTATTGTTGCTGGTAGCCTTGCCGTGGTAAAGCGCCGTGTCACCGTAACCGTGTCTCAAAGGCGACTATTATTATATTATTATTATTTATTATTATTGTTATTATTATTATTATTATTATCATTATTATTTTTCTACGAAGTGATTGTCGTGGTGTCTGGTTTAAACGAACTTCGAGGGCACGATACCCATTAAAAAGATCTGTCTTCTCCAAGAGTTTGTTTCGGTCTCCTCTCAGCTTAAGACGACTCATGGGCAACAGATGCGTTAAAATGAATACGCGAAACTCTTCGGAATTATTACATCGTAGAATTACTAACGTCATTTTTCCCGTTTCGGTGTCTTATCGTTGCTACTGCTGCTGCTGGCCGTGACCGTGCTTCCAAACGATAATTGGTGAACGATGATGCTATTGGCTCTCAGTTTTCGAGGCACGTCTCCTTGTCTTGCGCTGCAGCAAATTGTCTTACGGCTGACTTACCGCCGGGGCGACCGTAGAGTTCAAGATTGATATCGCAATATTGATTTAATGCACTCATGAAAAAGTTGTATTTGCATATCGACATAGAGCACCGGTCTATTGTCACCAAAATCAGCGGAGCGGCATACCTTGAGGGCGTGACTCGGACTTCAGAGGAAGCTCTCTAGCAAGATATGGTTGTTCATATACACGGCTGTCGCACACAGTTTGGCCCTGTCTATGAACGAAATATTCCTCGGCAAATGTCTTGTGATATTTCTTCGGCCCCGTCAGCTGTAAAGAAAATAACTCGTTCCCGCGGTCTCGAAATCTAACGTCCTACACACACTTCGTGCAGCGCTTGATCATTCAAACAGTCCTTCGTAATCATCGTAGCATTGGCTGTACAACTCTCAATTATTGAATTCGTAATTTAGTATATTCATTTTTCTCCCCATGAAATGGGGAATACGATATAGAAAGAATACATGATATAATTTTTATCAAAAAGAAAAAAAAATATTTTTTTTTCGATTGTAAATGAATCCCTTATACGATTTTATCTAAGGAAAACAATTGTTAATACATATGTGAAATATATTGACTTTTATACAGATTTTGACAACAATTTTTTGGCGTCAAATATCGTATTTGCTACGAGCTTGAAGTGTTGGCAATGCAAGCATAAGTTACTTTGCTGCAGTGTTGAAATTAAACATGTAACTATTAAGAGCAAGTGCTCAAAGTTTGGATCAATTATGCAAGCAATTTCTCTCGAAATTCTTCTGCAATGCTTTTTCTAATGACACCAGAATAAATTTGACGGTCAAATGTGATGGGAATGCGGGCCTTGAGGTTCTATTAAAATTCTTAATTTAATTCTGCTGGTAAAAAATGACGTGAAAATTCCAAAATGAAAATGACGCATGAAATTGGATGTCAATCATCTGGTCGTGATGTTCGCAAAAGCTATTAAGGTGATTTTCATCGGAAATCTTTATTAATTTTCAGAAGAAAGTCAATATTCTTGTACTTTTTCATTATCAAAGTTAGGCGAGTTAAAATTATATCGAAGATAACAGAGATTTCTGATTGATGCAAACTTTCTATTCCTGATCTTACGTTAACAATGAAGTTTTGCTTGAAGGAATTCCCACGTAATGTGAGAATGTTATTTTCTCGCGACAGCTCGAATTTTCAGTAGTTAGGCCAATACTTGGATCTTAATAGAATTTAATTAATACTTTGGGCAAAAGTTACATGCCAAAAATGAAGCCAACGACTGAAATATACCAACGGGATTAAAAATAATATCCTTGTAAAAGTGCAGCATCTCTTCAAGAATTGAGCCGACCCTATTTTAATCTATAGGGAGCGAGGAGCTTCTCTCACGGATAAAGCTTTTATTAAGATGAACAATGAAATCCTTTTATTAATGGAGATGAGCAATGAAATTAAGAGCTCAAAGTTACGTACACAAGACATCTAATACAGTATTTCATTTGACAGAAGTATCATCGATGCATGATGGAAGGGAGAAAGAACAATGAAATGCATTACAATTTCAAGTGGAGTAAGTTTTTTTGAGGATTTTGATGCTGAGAGTGCGGAAGATCAGCTCAGGATGTTTAAGAAGTCTGTGAGATTAGAGGAACTTTTGAGAAACATAATCCTCGAAAAAATATAACTCAATACTCACTGCAGTGAGTGACAGAGAGCGCATTTTCTCGCCGACGAAAACGTGAAGTTACGGACGGACAGACAGAAGGACAGACAGATGGAGAGACAGAAGGACAGACAGACGGACAGATATGATGCGAACGTGAATGAGAAAATGCGCTAAAAATGAGTCTAATTCTGTTTATTCCAAATTAAATTTCAAAGAGAGATGATATCATCAGCTACCTCCCGGAAATGAGTGTTTTTTCAAGGACCGTTAATAATGTTTGCATGTTTATGACAGACGGACAGACGGACAGACGGACAGACGGACAGACGGACTGACGGACTGACAGACGGACGGACATGACGAGCACAATAGCGCCTTTTTTCTATAAACGAAGAAATGCGCTAAAAAGATCGCACGGGAACTAAAAATCGGTATGCAGCAAACTTGTATTTTTTGCGGAAAAGCACGTAGATTTGAAATTCTAGTCGTGGAAAAGGCATGTTCCAAGATTTTTTGTTGTGCTAGTCAATGCAATTTGCAATGCTTCATTGGGTCAAAACAAAATAAATTTTGTGGAAGGTTTATAGCAGGAAAATGTGAGGTAGGAAGATGAATAGGAAGTAACATTACATTTTATACTGGATGCATTCTTGTCGCTAGAGCATCTGTTTCAGAAGAGACGAGTCTCTTAAGAAAACAATACCATTCAATGCCTCTTAATTTCCTCAATATAGAATAATCCTTTTTAGCGCATTTTCTCATTTATGGAAAAAATGCACTATTGTGCTCGCCATGTCCGTCTGTCTGTCTGTCTGTCTGCCTGTCTGTCCGTCCGTCCGTCTGTGACCTCAAGTTTTCGTCGACGAGAAAATGCGCTCTCTGTTACTCACTGCAGTGAGTACTGAGTTATATTTTTCTGTATTTATGCGAGAACTCCGGCTCTATCAGGCTGACTGCGTTACGCACAGGAATTTAAAAAAATATTTCTTAGAAAACGCTGATATTAGCCAAGTTTTTAATTAACTATTTTTCTAATATTATAATTTTTTAAATCCATTATTAAAAAGTTGGGTTTTTTAATTAAGGCACTTCATGAGGACTAATTAAAGAGGCATTTTCTTTGGAAAATAATTTTTTATGCCTTTTGATTTCAGTTGATGCTAGAGGAATGGCTTGTTAGAACTTTTCATGACAAATACAAAAAATCTTCTCAAGTTAAAATAAATTCAACTATACTTTGTTAGTGAAACGAAGGAGGTAGAAAAAGAAGAAAAATTTAGGTGCCTCTCAACGTACGTTGACAAGTAACCTGAACCATTTTTTATTCATCTTATGAAAATAGAAACAGTTTTTCTAGAAATTCGTGGCGGTAGGCGAATATAAATTTTTGGGAACTATATTCGGAAAAATCTACTGCTCTGCATATGATCATAAATTTAACCCGTAAGGATTAATATAGATCGATTAAAATTAATAAATATTTTTTAAATCATCCCTTCCTGTTGGAAGATCACCAGGAAGAGGCAGAAATATAATACATGTGTTATATGATAACACATCGTGCTTTAAGATCACTCTTCCTGTTAAGAGATAAGATATCATACATGTTATAACTCATACGTAAATCCATGGACGAAGTGTTGAGCAGAATTTTGCTTGATAAACCGGAAGTAATTTCCTGTGTGGCAATTTATGCAAAGAAAATTTATTTCTTGATAATTGTCCAGCATTTTAGTATCCGAATAATATCTGTTTCAGGATGGTTTTCCATGCTAAGTTATCAAGGGGAGTGGATTTTCCAGATTGTTTATACGCGCGTTAAAAATTAAGTTTCAGCACCAGCAAGAGTTTTCATTTTACATTCAAACATCTGTGTCTAAATTAATTACCGTGTACTTCAATCTTAAAATAGGAAAAGTTCATGCGCAGCTCAGTAGAGGTTGATCAAAACATGAATTGCTTTTCTATCACATCAACTGATCATAAGAGTTTACGTTATTTGTCTGCCTCATTGATGTGTTTGATCTCCAGGAAGAAGAAGTGATCGTATACCACAACAAAGGTTGTACAGAACACGTCATCACTTATTACTGCAAGTCGCATCACACGGTGGGCTTCGTATCATACGAAGTATTAGCTCTCTTTGTGATCCCCGCCGTGCTGATGATCTGCTGCTACACGGCCGTCATCAGGGAGCTCTGGAAGAGCACCAAAACAATATCAGCGCTCACCAACCCTGTGCGATGGTGGGTAATAAATAAATATTATTATTATTATTACCATTATTATTATTATTATTATTACTATTATTATTATTATCATTATTATTATTATTATTATCATTATTATTGTTATTATTATTACTATTATATATTAAATTAAGTGTCATTATTTTATTTTAAACCATGAATAAAGTTAAAAGTTTGATGTGTAAGAAAACTTGAATGATTTTCATGACATTGACGATGCTCATCGTGAAATTTTTATCATGATATTTCAATGACAAAACATTAGTAATATCATCTCGATTCGTGTAAACGATATCGGGCCCTCAACCTTGAGGTTGCACAGAAGGAGTTTGATTTTAAATTCAGCGTTATGATCAAAAGGGCAGTGGCGAGGCAGTACGTGGGGGCATCATCTGTTCTCTAATAATTCCTTTAGTAGGAATACGCAAACGTATTATTAATTCCACATAATTTTTTCTTGATAATTCAAAATTTGAAGAGAAAAGTATTTTTTTCCCAGACAACCTACCCAGGCACATGTTATGATTTGGAAGGAGATTACGGACTCGCATTGGAAATCCAACTTTCAAGGTATTGAAGCATTTGAATAAATATTCATTTCTTGCGACTTGAAAGCCTTCCAAATAGACATTTTTCCAGGAATATTTGCTTAACAACCTCGTGTATTTTTCAATATTTCGGTTTATTGTTGCTTGCTCGCACGATCGTGGGCGAGGTGCGTTTGTTGGAGAACTCGCCATCTTAGATAACTTTTTGGGCCTCAAGTTTGTTACATGACAATCGAGGCAGCTGGTGCCCAAGTTCCGTGTGACGGCTCTGTAAAGAACAGGCGCTTCCAAATAATGTAGAAACTTTAATTTCTGCATTAAAAGATTATTTCTTTTATTTAGGTTCTCTTTTTCGGGAATTTTACCTTGTAAGTTGAGAATGAATTTCAAAGAATTAGACACTATAAAAATTTATTTACTAATTTCAACGAAAATTTTTCCGAAGAATTAATTTACAAATTTTACAATCGTAGGGTTTTTTCTCGTTGATTCAAATCTGACCTTTTTTTGAAACAGATATCATTTGAAATTTCCATTGAGATGGCAATTGTTGTGTACCTGAAGTGACCAATAGTTTTGAAGGAAGAGTTGAAAATAATTCTATTTACCAATTTAATGAATACGAAGCTTCATGAACACATTTTCCCAGCTGTGAAAAAATTCCGTTTTTATACAAGAAAATTTAAGATTGAATAGCGATGCTCACAAACGTTGAAAGTTAATAGGACTTGCAACCAAAGCAAAGAAATTAATTGAGCGAGACCGGCCACGAGTATCTAATTTATTGTTCACTTAATTTAAAAGTGGTAAACTCTACGCACTTCTGCTGTTTTTAGAAGTTTAAAATGGAGCTAGTTTCAAACATTCTGTGCCAAAAAGTTCAATTAAATTAGTTTCTGAGATAAATATTTCGATAAATCCAGTCATATGCATCTCATTCTTCTTCTTTCATGTCTCTTTTTATAAGTATATTACTATTTTTTATAGGTTTATAGGTACATAAACATCATAGCGTGTTTATGTACCCTCGTGTTCCACTTGTTTCTTGAAGTCGTATTTTTTTGCAAAACATTTTAATAATTTCTACACTTTTATGCCCAGTTCGTAGAAAAGTTTATGCAAATTGAATGATAACGGCGATGGATATCTTGAAAAAATATCTTTTAAACCTGAATTCGTGTGAAAAGGGCATTCATTGGAAAAACAAAAATTATTCAAATATGTACCCCATAGTAAACGCTGGGATTTTAATAGAAATTTAGCTTAGATCTTAGCTCTAAACTTAGGAAATTTCAATGCCGATGAAAATTTTCAAAGATTTCTCGGCCGTTTGAGACCATACGCTTGACTCTTGATTCCAAGGAACCAAGCCAGCAGAGATGGCTGATTAAGGTGATAGTGTCCAATTTACCTGCTGCGGTACTGACTTCGGAGCCTGTCACTAGCTAATGACAACGAAAATTTAAAAATAGACATCCATTACGTTGAAAAAACTTGCAGAAAGAAAATAAATATGCATCTATAGACACAGCAAGCGAGAAGAAATTAATTTTTAATCGATTTCGGTACACTACACTTTTCCTTCAGATATCAATACACATTTTTCGAATTAATGTAACTGGTTTGTGCCGATAGGGAACACATGCAGTGCATAGTCTGGGTAAAAAATTAGAGCAAGGATTAAAACGATTAAGCTGTAAAATGTAACGTATTTTGTATTTTATGTTGCAGTGGACCGTATAACAGCAGCGGAGGAAGCGAATCATATCGTTTGAACGTACGGCATCCTACGATATGCAATCCACGCAGACTTCTGAATTCACCAGCAACAGTAATTGGTATTCAATCTCATTCGAATTGCGATCAAGGATCACCTTTGCCTTCAATTTCAGACCCGTTTAGTGACCAGGAAGATCTTGCTGAAAAGCATAGGTTCGATGAAGTTCAGGAATCGGGTTTCTCGATTGGGCGGCCGATACTGAGCTTTGATTGTGACATGCCTCAGTCTTCGTCAGGTACGTTTGAATCCACAAATGTTTATGGACCAGAAAAGTCAAGGGTTGTTTCCGGGACCACGCTTCCGGTACACCTGGACTATGATACCATGTCTGACGTCACTGAGCACACATCGCGCGGCACACGAGCGAGCGCTGTCTCTTTCCCACGAATGAACTCTTTATCTTGCTCAAGAACCAACACATTCAAAAGTCATAAAGGCAGTCGCAGAGGTAAAAGTATGTCTGGGATTATTTTCTCGTCTGAGGAAGACTTTCAGATCATTGAAGATGCGAAAAACACTGTGAATCCGCGCTCTAATGTAAGCACGCTACACAATTTGCGAAGCCCCGTCGGTTTCCGGGCGAGTATGAGAAATCGGAACAGCTTGGGAGCAACAAGTAACAATGGTGGCTTGAATTGTAAGGCCATGTCCTACGATGACAGTGGAGTGAACACAAGAGAAGTTACTGGTGCGAGTCATCGGGGAGTTTTCGGTCACCGCAAAAGTAAATCTTCCTCGGCAGCTGTTGGCCTTCATGGCAGGGAAGAGTGGAAGCTGCCTCCTATGGCTAAGAGGGAGGACGTTAAGAAAACCAGGAAGCAGGTTGGTTTTTAATGTTTAGCCAACAAACTTTGATAACCATTCTTTTACACCGTAATTATTGTCTAACATTTTAAATACGCCTAAAATGATTTGCATTCACAAGCAGACCAGATGACAACTACTAGCAATTATTATGTTAAAATCATTAATCAATAGGTATGTAGTTTATAATCGAAAATTGCTAGTGACAAATAACAGTTAATAATGCTGCCGTTGGGGAGGCTGGTGGTCAAAGTTGGGAACACCAAAAATAAAGCAGTTAGTCTCGGGTTTGGTCGAAGCTAGCTGTAAATATTCTGCTCGAGTTATTCGAGGAAGTGGGTAAGTGATAAAATGAATATTAGAGCAATAAGTTGCGTGTTCAAATCCCCACAAAGCAGTAATAAATTCTGCCGCATTTTGAGAGGCCAGCTTTGCCTTATAATTAAACCTTGTTACAACAAATACTATTACAGATTAACATTAAAGGTACATACGAAATGAATATTCGATGTGTTTGATAAAAATTATCTACAATTATAAACGACTTAGGGGACAAATTGCTAATGAATCAAAGTGAAGATGAATTATATTATGCCGCTCAGGCTATAAGCTAATATTTGTGTATAAATTTGCTTGTGATCGAATGGCCAGTAAAAAATACCTTGTGTTCCGTTTAGATATTTTTTGCGAAAGGTTAAAACTTTAATTTTTCTTTGCAGGTGATAAAAATGTTGGTTGTGGTGGTGGTGCTGTTCATCATTTGCTGGGGTCCAACGCTTGTTGTTAAAATCTGCAAAGCACTTGAAGTTCAAGCGTTCAACCAAGTATTCCTTGCGTTCACATATCTGGCAGACCTTCTGCCGTTCATCCATTGCTGCATAAATCCCATTATTTATTGCTTCATGTCCAACAATTTCCGCAAGTCAATGTGGCGGATGATCGCCAAACGGCAGTCATGTTGTTCAGAGCTCGCAAGAACCCAGGCCGGCCTCCCTCCTCTGCGCAGTGGCTGCTGCAAATGTGTGAGGTAAGTACAAAAAGGATTTTTATTTTTACTACTATCATGCCAGGGATTTTTTTTATGCCAGGGATTTTTATTTTTACTATTATGGCGTCTTGAGAGCACAAAAGATTTCTTATTCCAGGTTCCGAGCTAAAAAACTACTATTGTTTTGGTATGATGTCTTCTCTGTAGCGGAATCTCTTTGATGTCTGCTAAGATGTAAGAAGCTCTGGGTTTTCATCACATCGTTACTATATTTTTATCCCGTAAGCGTCGTAGTTTTCGTCATTTAAAACATATTTCTATTTTGATGAAACGCCTAACAAGTCATAAAAATTCGTGGAAGAGCTTCTCATTATTGTACTGTAGTCATTAAGAGGCATTGACATAGTTGGTAACCTAGGAGCTTTAACATCTTTTAAAAGACATCAAAACCAGGCTGCTGAAGCGATGATGCCTGTGCAACGTGAGCCGCCTGTTTACGTACTTCTATTATAAAATGACCTATACTTGCAAAGAGTACATCATTTATATGTCTCACTGAAACATACCTAGATGTATTTCTGATAACAATCCTCCAATTTTTAGATGTAAATAAGTTGTGATGAAGCGTTTGATTGATTGATTGACATTGATTTTTTAGTTAAATTTCGCATTCTTATGGAAAGCGCATACATGATGCTCATATTTTTCGAATTAATTTTATATCGTTAGTTTCACTTTGCGGAATCGATTGCAGATTTTTCCTCTTATAGTAAAATATATTTCGTAAATCTATGGTAATGTACAATATTGGTGCGCACGTTCTAAATATGTTGCTCCATCTCATATTTCTCGAATTAATTTTATATCGTTAGTTGCATTTTGCGGAATCGATAAGAGATTTTTCCTCCTTTAATAAATGGTTATGTACGATATTGGTGCGCACGTTATAAATGTTGCTCCATCTTTAATTTATGTAGGTACGGCGATGGTTGCTGCAGTGGCAACAGCAGCAACAGCGGCGCGGGCTGCAGTAAAATGTGCTGCGACAAACAGACCAACCTACCCCCTGCACCACCGGTCTCCAAAGACCAGACGTCAGTGACTGCAGACAAGCTATTGCATGCGTCCGAGGCCGAGGTTGACCAAACTATTGTATCCGAGTGGACGGTCGCAGCTCCAGCATCTGTTCAGCCGCCAAACAAGTACTCGTGTGGGACCGCTTGTTTCTACGTGTGTTGGTGCACTAAAAGTCTGCCGCATTTGCCGGGCATCGCGGCTCCAGAGACCCATAAAGGAATATCAAGGCAAAACACAGCGCGGTTTTCATCATCAACTTTTTATCATGAAGCCCCTACCGCCATCTTGAATTGCACAGAACTCGAAAATATTTCCAATATTTAATTTTGTATATCATGGATCGTAATCTGTCATGCATAATACGTAAAAAATGGATCTACCAACTGACTTTGGCGATTCTTTCACTAATATAACATGTACATTTAGTTTACTCAATTGCATTTTTATGAACTTTTGATTCTCCATTTTGACTCGAAAATCAACCAGGCTTCCGTGAGTTGACTTTATTTAAATCATCGCAAATAAATATCTTTTTATGATCAAATTCTAATTTTAGGTATACATACTCCGATAATCTTTGTAATACATCTTAACTGTCAAGCTTTCCATCATGATTATGACCATCATAGCGTATAGTTCAAGCAAGCTTCCTTTCTTAAATCATAATATTTATTAATAGTAAGCTTTAGATTATCTAAGCAAATCAGCTTCATTGTCAGCTTCAAATGCTATGATGATAATATTAATTTATGGTAGATTTTTTAACGCTTATAGATAGTAACTGTCTCTTACTATATGTACAATGTTTACCTTAATCTATTATTCTGCTTGTCCGATCATATATTCACTGATAATTGTGTAAAAACTCGTCATTAACTCTTTAAAAATCGAAATATTTTTTGTTAAGCTTAACATTCACGAGAATCATATAACTTACATACAATCAGGAACATAGTGCTCTAATACTGTAACTTGTCCATCATAATTTTCCAGAATAATTTTTTATAAAAATATTAGCTTTCTCGTGATATCTGTAACCATGTGCGTAAAATACGCTTAAAACGTGTCCATCAAATGATTATCTTATTTTATTATTAATCGTTCGCCACTTCATCTGTGCAATTTTTAACTCATGCATAAAGAATCGAATATTTTCAGTAATATAAAAACGTATAGTATAAAACAAGAAGTCGTGTGAAGATAAGTGGCTAATATTATTCATACTTTTCATGGATATCGAAAGTTATGAATAATAAAAATAAATGAAAGGAACAAAATTACCCCGTACTTCAGATTAAGCATTAGCTTTGCTGCTATTTAAGTCTGATGGACAACATGCGTGCTGCCCTGACCTTTGGCGGCCAGAACATCAGCAATTTTGTACCTTAATGGCGATGGTCACGGCATACAGACAACATTGGTCAATTAACAGCAAATTATTTAAAGCTCTCGATTCGATTCTATTTTATAGGTTCAGCATCCTCAATTAATTTGGAATACATTTCAGGGATAACATTGTAATAAATCTTGGAAAACCTATTTTTTAACAGTATAAATCGAACCTGGGATTTACATATTTTTATGAAAATTTCAAGGAATCTATGAAAATTTCACTTCTCGGAGTGATATGAAAAAACGCAGTCTACTATAGAATTATTCACGCGAAAGTCATTAAAATCTTATATCAGATTCAACAAAAGTAATCAGTTGAACCGGAACAAAATCTGGATTTGGAACCTCAAGTTGAACCACCTCATAGCATTTGGTTACTGGAAGGACATTCTCACTCATTATTAACAAAAGTTGAGATGTATTACTGGCAACAGGAATACGTTAGCTCGTCTGCTGAAATATTTTCAAGCATTGAAGAAATTGTACAATAATCTGACATCCATTTGTGTGCACGTTGCTCGTAAAGAAATATGTGGGAAAATCTTCCAATGAGACCGCATAGTAAAACGTGATTGGTCATCACTCCAGGCCATGCGGAAGCACCACCTTAGATGCCCATCATACACCGCCCACTAGCGACAGCGAGAAATGACCTAGGCTATACTTTCAAAACTCGCTAAGTGAACGTTACTTTACGCTCTATTTTCTTGTCTATGATTGGTAGATTTTGCTTGAAAGGCCGTCAATGATTGGCTGATGAACTTACGATCTCTTACATTTTTTTGAAAGTATAGGCCCTGAGCTTCTCAAGACTTGAACCCACGACGAACTTGTCTAATCTCGGTGCCGGTACCGTGGAGCTGCGCTGGTCCAGCTGATGTACACAAAAATTTTTCGCTAAAAAATTTAAAAGATCAAAGGTAATTTAGGACTTTACGTATGCTGAGTTTTTGGTTTGGTATATTCTCAATACATATGTTTCATCGCGGCCTCAAACGAAGAATTTCTGCACAGGAAATGGTATCATAAAATTTGAATATTTTTCCAGTAAAATTATTTCAGTTTTTCTTTTTAGTATATTTGTTATGTTAAATAACTTTCTGTTGTCTAATTTCGAGACAAACTCTTAAATAACTTTCAGTTTAAGAATGTTTATTTACCGTCATTATTACATTATTTGGTATACGCTATACCTATTCAAGTTTAACTCTCAGACCTTATGACCTTACCTTATGACCTTATGATGAGTTTAGGACGTAATGCATTATTAAAATATGTTTAGAATATAGATAGTAAAGATCAATATCCATAGGTAATAATAAGTAAATATCATTCTTGTTCTAATCTCAATTTTTTATACATTTTATTCGGACGGTGTTGATCGTTGACAATCTGTGCATGTGGTGACAATCTTTGCAACTGATCACCTTTGCAGAATCTCAGGGAAATTGATCCAATTTGAGAAGATTTTTATTAGACCAAAAATAATCAAGTTATTGTTGAATTTTGAGAAAGACTCTACGAGTACTTATGATCTCAAGGTATAATAAAATCCATGTAGATAGCAGAATCGGAAGCTTAGCTTATTTTTCATAAAAATCTTCACAAATCCGTTATCGTTTCTTTTCATTGAAACTTAATGTTTTTTTTTTTCAATTTTAGCAGATTTTTACTATCAAAGGAATTTTTCAGAGTTTGAAGAAATACCTCAGGTTGAAGAAGCCAACTAATCGGATTGCTTGTAATTTTTTGTGCCCTTCTTTTTGAAATGAAGTAGTTCTTGCCACTATAATTAAGGTTCTAAACATGCGCGGCGTCTTTAAATCGTAATCGCATGTTTCCAAAACACGTCCAATGCTCCATATAAAGACACATTACTTTCACTTAAAATTTGTCAGCTAACTAATAGCAGTCGATTCAAACTAAAAATTCAGAGTTATTCGAGAATTTACGTAGGAACATACGCGAATCACATGACACTTGAGCTTGTATCCAGCAGATGATAACACTGGTCCATAATGATGCCAGATATTCATAAATTTCAGCTGTACTTCTGGACGAGAATATCAATGAAAACCAAGAAATAAAAAATTCTTAATCACAAATATGCTGCATTTAAGATTGATGTGTATTTCGTAAAATATGAGACAATTGTTTGCACAAGACTTAATGTCAGTCAGTGAAAGGTTTTACATACGAAAGTGATTTGGCTATATCCAGATTTGATTCATTTATGTCTGCCTAAATAATTTTATGCGATTGCAGACGACTGATTATGGCCGTAAAACTGATGCTAGTGGAGGAGTTCATGAAGCTTTTTCTCTTTTGATTTTAAGTTTCTTTTAACATGTTTTTGTAGTTCTCTGCCTTGTGAAATTTATGAGAGGCTCATTTTAGTGTTCGATTTGATTTGTGTTTCCATTTGAGCAAGTTTTCACTGACTATAGAGTAATAATTCGCAATCCAGCATCAAAGAAAAAAAATCAATCGGTGATTGTTGACCAATTTCCACAAGCAATCAATTGGTGATTGTTCATTTTCAAAGCAGAAATACATCTTCCTTCCAGTAACCTCATTTGTACCACAGTGATAAGTCTATGTGCATGAAACCTGCGTACGTGAATACCAGTAGAGTTTTACGCCGATGCAATTGGTCAACGATGCACATTCAATCTCGATTAATGTTTTGCTTGTAAATTGATGGTTGGATGATGCGTTTGATCCAGAATATCTTTGCGTAACGTGTCGACAACGTCTTTGTGTCGTTTGTGTAACTATATTGTTACCGCTTCTAGAATACGTTCTCATACGCTTGTGTCATAAATTCGATGGCCTTGTACAGAGCTTGATATGTATGAAAAGTTTGGTGTATTTTGTGCGCCCTCAAATCGTTATTACCATTTAAGGGGCTTCTTTTTTATATAGATAATTAATTATAATTTTAAATTATACGGAGCTTCTTCGGTTAATATTCAATCAATTTAATGCAGCCCAATCGCTGTTAATCGGTCATCTCATTTTAAGTATAGGAAATAACAATATATTTTCCTCGATGATGTTTTTTTATTATCTGCCCTTACAATGAAATAAAATAGATAAAATTAGTATATTTTACAATTTTTACAAGAACGAGTTTAGTTTATAAGGAAATTAATATCAGAACAATTTATTGGGATCTATTCATAAACAATGAACTCATTCAATAGCCGTCAAGTTTACTTTTTCATAGATGCAAAATGGCATAGACAATAGAGACGCTTTGATTAATGCACGTGATCGGAGTACAGTATGCGCAAGAAAATTTTTAGTCGTGGGAGGAAATGTAGACAATTCTCTATTAAGACATGATTTATAATCAGTGGTGCTATAGAAATGAAGATTCTAAGGGAATTTGCTCTGAGATTTTAATATGCATATAAAAATGAACTTAAAATATAAATGATATAAAAATGAACTGGTCGAATCCTTTACTCGGGGAACAATCTATTTTCCACAAAATATTGCGCAGTTCATTTATTCAAACTCGAGTAAATAAGTTAAACAACGACACCGCTGACAGCAAATACATTTTAATATCAAAGCTGTGGGTTTTATTCATTTTTTATATACGTCTCTCACGGTATAGATTCAAAATGAAAAAACCAGCTCTAAGCCAAGTGCTGCTTAAATTTTTTGATTAACTGATTTTTTAATAAATTTTCATAATTTGGTTCCGATAAACACTCATTTTGGCAATATGCACATTCATTTAATAATGAAGAATAATGGCTTCCAATTAATCATCGGAAGCATTCCTCACGGATCAAAGAATTCAATTCAGTAAAAGGAGACGTTAATCTCCATTACTTTGTTTTTTATTTCTTTATTGGTCACCAGCTGGCATTCATTAGTTAATCAGCGACTATGAAAGGCACCTTCCCGACCGCTTGTTGAAGCTTATTGGCTACGAGAAAATCTTGTATCACATACATGCTGTTGAAAAAAACTCCTTATTGCTGATGCTTATTGAGTACGAGGAAATAACATGCTGTTTTTTCAACATGCTGTTTAAAAAAATTCTTAGCAAGCTCTTTTCAATGGCAATTCATTTTGTAATCTTACAGTCCCAAAAGTTTTCAAATTTTTAACAAATAAAGCTGGCACATAAGCGGGTAAGGAAAATCTTTCCAGTTAAACAAAATTCACTGAACTCTTTTACACAAGTTGCGAAGGGTGTACTTGAATGTACTTTTAAGTACATAGATGAATTTTAGGAATCTCTCAACTATACGGAAAATTTATATCTGGAAATTTCGACAAAGGCTCCTTCGTGTATCGAAGAACCATGTCCATAGGCGTTGTATCTAATATCTTAATATACGAAGATTGTGAAGGAAATAACGAGATAAATTAAAGGTAAATTTTCCCATATTCATCCTGAAAATTGGCCCGAAAATCACGTTAAAACCCCTATGGCCTAAAACC